CAATTAAAGCAAGGAAGTATGACAGTAGCAGAATATGCCTCTAAGTTTGAAGAGTTAGGAAAATACTCTACATTCTTTTATCACCCTAATGAAAGAATGAAGTGTGTAAAATTTGAGAATGAACTTAGGCCTAAATTGAGAAAAGCAGTAGGAATACTAGAAATTTCTGATTTTTCTACGTTTATTCAAAAATGCAGAATTTTAGAAGATTTTGAAAACCATCAAAATAGTAAACCAAAATATTTTGGACCCCAGCATAATAAAAGGAGACAAAATGAAGGAAAACCTTACAACCACCCCTAATGGAGATCCCAACCCAACCAATTTTCTGTAGGAAATTTTAATAAACCTGTAAATAGTCAGATCAAGTGCTTCAAGTGTGGACAAGATCATTATGCTAAAGATTGTCATCTTAAAGGGTCTGTCTGCTTCAAGTGTGGAAAACCTGATCATATATTCTCTGAATGTCGGCAACAAATACCAAATTATGATCCTTCTACACCAAAAAGAAGACCTCCGACAACAGGAAGAGTGTATACCATAAATGGAACTGAAGCCTCTCAGAATAATAATTTGATCCAAGGTATGTGTTTCATTAAAGGTAAAACTTTAAATGTATTGTATGATTCAGGAGCAACTCATTCATTTATTTCCAATGATTGTGTCCAACACCTTGAATTGTCAACTTCTTTTCTAGACACTAGTTTGATTGTTTCAACTCCCACAAGTAAGTTTGTGATCACTAATAAAATTTGTCTAGATTGTCCTTTGTTCATTGAAAACATGAAATTTCTTGTAAATTTAATTTGTCTACCTTTATCTCAATTGGATGTAACCCTGGGTATGGACTGGTTATCTTCCAATCAAGTCCTTCTGAATTGTGCAGAAAAATTCATAATATTTTCAAATTCTGAAAATATTTTGAATTTTTCTACCAACTCAGTAAATGAGTCTTTGAATAACAAAATTCAAGGATATTTGTTATTATCTTCTGTGGAAGTAAAAGAGGAAGTCGATTTGAAAAAAATAGCAGTTGTTCAAAATTTTCCTTAAATTTTTCCTAATGATATTCCTGGTTTACCACCCAACAGAGAGATTGAATTTTCAATAGATTTAATGCCAGAACTGGACCAATTTCTATGGCACCGTATAGGATGTCACCTTCTGAACTGACAAAACTGAAGAAACAATTGGAAGAATTACTTGGGAAACAATTCATTCGTCCTAGTGTATCATCACCTCGGGGAACCCTGTTTTATTAGTTAAGAAGAAAGATGGAAACTTTAGGTTGTGTGTACATTATCGTTAGTTAAATAAATTCACCATAAAGAATAAATACTCTCTTCCAAAAATAGATGATTTGTTAGATCAATTAAGAGGAGCTTCTGTATTTTCTAAAATAGATTTAAGATCAGGATATCACCAAATTAGAGTAAAGGTAGAAGATGTACAAAAAACTGCATTTAGAACTAGGTATGGTCATTATGAATATCAAGTGATGCCTTTTGGTGTGACCAATGCTCCTACAATATTCATGGATTATATGAATAGGATTTTTCGTCCATTTTTAGATCATTTTGTTGTGGTTTTTATAGATGACATTCTTATTTATTCTAGAACTTTTGAAGATCATGCAGACCACCTTCAAGTTATTCTTCAAATTTTGAAAGGCAAAAAATTGTATGATAAGTTGTCTAAGTGTGAATTTTGGTTAAAAGAAGTAAAATTTTTAGGTCATGTGATTTTCAAAGAGGAAGTGTCAATAGACCCAACTAAGGTGGAAGCAATTCTACAATGAGATCCACAAAAAATAATGACTGAGATTCGTAGTTTCCTGGGTTTAGCAGGATATTATAGGATATTCATTGAAGGATTTTCTAAAATGGTTATGCCTTTAACCCAACTCACCAAGAAAGGTCAAGTTTTTGAATGGACAGAAAAATGCGAAAATAGTTTTCAAGAACTTAAGAAAAGATTAACCACTTCCCCTGTACTAGCATTACCTAACCTAACTGAACATTTTGTGATATTTTGTGATGCTTCCAAAATGGGATTATGATGTGTTCTTATGCAAGATAGAAGGGTAGTTGCATATGCTTCAAGACAATTAAGAACACATGAGAAAAATTATCCAATTTATGATCTAGAACTAGCCGCCATCGTTTTTGCACTCGAAATATGGAGACATTATGTGTATGGTGGTAAGTTTGAGGTTTTTAGTGATCATAAAAGTCTTAAATACTTGTTTGATAAAAAAGAGTTAAATATGAGACAGAGAAGATGAATGAAATTTTTGAAAGATTATGATTTTGAATTACATTACCATCCAGGAAAGGCAAATGTGATAGTAGACGCTTTAAGCAGAAAATCTTTACATCTCTCTTCCCTTATGATTCATGAGATGAGTCTGCTAGAAGAGTTCAGAAACATGAATTTATCAATTACCATGAACCTTGATAGAATAAAATTAAACTTAACTCAAATTACTAGTGAATTACAAAGACAAATCCAAGAGGCTCAAGTAAGTGATGAATTTATTCAAAAGAAAAAGAAGTTGATAGGACAAAAGAATGGAGAAAATTTTGACATAGATAAAACAGGAATTTTGAGATTTAGTGGTAGGATATGTGTGCCTAATAATGTAGAGATTAGGAAGCTAATTTTAGACGAAACACATAAGAGTAAATTAAGCATACATCCAGGCACAACAAAAATGTATCAAGATCTTAAGAAAATATTTTGGTGGCCTAAAATGAAGAAGCAAGTAGCACAATATGTAACATCATGCTTAGTTTGTCAAAAAGCTAAGATAGAACATCAAAGGCCTGCAAGAATGCTACAATCTTTAGATATACCTGAGTGGAAATGAGATAGTATTGCAATGGACTTTATAGTTGGCTTACCACGAACAATTCAAAAATTTGATTCCATATGGGTTATCGTGGATAGGTTGACGAAGTCTGTTCATTTTCTACCCATTAACATCAGGTATTCATTGGAGAAACTGACAGAATTATACATAAAAGAAATTGTGAGGTTACATAGAGTTCCATCTAGTATTATTTCTGACAGGGATCCTAGGTTTACTTCTAAATTCTGGGGAAATGATCACAAAAAATATAATGATTTTATACATGGTTCTTAAAATCGGACCAATCATCAAACCGGTAAATGTATGGGTTCAGGGTTCAAAGGTTCAACCGGAGTTTACCCAAGAATTGAACCGGATTTAATAAAATAATATATTTTAATAATATAATAATATATTAAACTTAAAATAAGTTTATCACACATAATAACAAATCCAAACCAATATAAATGTTATTTAAAAAAGTATTATATAATAATAAGAATGATTTGTAAAATACATAAAGAAAAGTAACATGAATAAACATATAATCAAACACTTGGAATACAAAGTAATTAGAGAAAAAAATTGTCGTTGCACCTCACTCGAAAATAATTAGGGGAAAAAACTACAACTAACTTAAAAATAATTAGGAAAAAAACTACATCTAACTTAAAAACAATTATGGAAGAAAATTGTATTATACCTTCCATTGCATCTAATTTCAAAATTTATATAATTTATTTTATTTTAAGACATGATTATGGAACCCAATTATAACTCACTTGTCCACTCATCAAATTAATTTTTGAAATTAAGAGATTGTGATTCTTACATATTATTATATTTCCATAAATGATTGTAGTGATGATAATAGTAGACAACAATAATAAGGGCGACGTTAGAAGGAGACAATCAAAGATAGTGGATGACGATGATGATGACAATTGTAAGAAGAAGACGGTAGTAAAAGAAGAATATCACCATCAATATAGAAAACAATTTTCTCTCTTCACGTTTGTGTGTCTCTATATTAAATTATTGAAAGAAAAAAACACAGGACAAAATGACATTATTTAGCTCTTTTTTTTTTAAAGAAAAAAAAACCCGGTGACTCCTTGACCTGTCCGGTTTCACCGATTTTTAACTAGTTTTTCCAGATTTTGACCAGTTCATTATTTACCCGATTTTTTAAGAGATCTGGACATGTTATAACACTAGTTCTCAATTCAATTCAACAGGTTGAATCATCGTCCGATTTTGATAACCATGATTTTATATTCCGTCCACCTAAAAATAGATTACATCAGTCTATTATTTCTTTCAATTGAATAATAAAAATATTAATGCAAATTTAGATGTATTACTTCTTAATTTTATATTAATTGATGTTAATAATGAATTGTCTTTATTAAAATTAGTGGCAACGGTTATAAAAAGAAGAATTTATATGTGGCTTTTTACTTACAATGAAGAGTGTTTAAAGTAAAACAAACACACTGATTAATGAAACAAGACATAGTTATTGATGAAAAATGATGTGTTTTTATTAATATTAATAAATTGTTTTTTTTATACAAAGGAGAAGAGAAAATAATTTAATGATTGATAATTTGTAATTGGATATAAATAATCCCACAGCAAATTGAAATTAAACTATAATTAAAAAATGTAGTTTAATCAGAATTAGTAGCTTAGTATTAAAATAATCATAATTACTCTTAATCAAGTTGGCTGGATTGATTGGAACAATTGGGAAGAATCCTTGTAATATTGTTAGTTTATGGAATATGATTGTGATTTCCAAAGATTTAAAAAATAAATAAATAAAAAGAAAAATTATTATTACATAGAGAAGAAGTTTGCATTCTTTCAACCAGATTCACACACCAAAACAGCAGCGTCCAGATACATTCTCTTACTCCGTCAAACACACGCCCATCTCATCCCTCCCAAAGCTCAATTCCAGATTAGGGTTAGGGCTTCCAATGACCCTCTCTTCTTCATTCCCTTCAAAATCCCTATTCCAACCCCGCTATTACAACCTGTGTCTTCCTCATCCTTCGTCTTGTTGTGGTTGTTGTTATTGTTCTTAGGGATTATCGACTACTAAATTAACGTATCCTATTGTTTCAGTATCTTATATTCTTCAATGGACCTCTCACACTCTCAATCCAACTTGTCCCTCGGATTTTCCTCTTCCCACGCTTCGCCGCCTCGACGTTCCGACCCGCCGGTGCAGCTGCAGCTGCTCGAACCTCCACCGCACCCGCCGGAAAACGGAAGCTTGGATGTCGAATCGGACGACGATGATGACAGGGAAGTGGAAGAGTTTCGAATTCTAGGCCACTCAATGTGCTTGAAGAGGCGAAGGGATTGCGACTCCTCGTCCTCCTCCTCAACGAAGAGGGTTTCCGTGGACTCCGATCTCGACGCGCGTAAGGTTGCCGTGCGCTCGTGGGGCTGCCAACCCCTCGCAGTTGCGGACCCCGACATCCACGAGATAATGGAAAAGGAGAAGAAGAGGCAATTTCGCGGGATTGAACTCATAGCGTCTGAGAATTTCGTGTGCAGGGCCGTGATGGAGGCGTTGGGAAGCCACTTGACGAACAAGTACTCTGAGGGAATGCCCGGTGCGCGATATTACGGTGGTAATCAGTACATCGACGAAATCGAAACGCTTTGTTGCGAACGCGCGTTGAACGCGTTTGGTCTCGACCCCAAGTGTTGGGGGGTGAACGTGCAGCCATACTCGTGCACCTCTGCGAATTTCGCTGTTTACACGGGGCTGTTGTTACCCGGCGATCGTATCATGGGGTTGGATACCCCTTCTGGAGGGAACACTAGTCACGGTTACTATACTCCCAATGGGAAGAAAGTTTCCGGGGCTTCCATTTTCTTTGAGAGCTTGCCTTACAAGGTGAACCCTCAAACGGGTTACATTGATTATGATAAGCTTGAGGAACGGGCGCTTGATTTTCGCCCCAAGATACTTATTTGTGGTGGGAGTTCTTATCCCCGAGAGTGGGATTACGCGAGGTTTAGACACATTGCGGATAAGTGTGGAGCTGTGTTGTTGTGTGACATGGCACAGATTAGTGGCATAATTGCAGCCAAGGTGTGAAATATATTCCTCCTCTTGCAAACCCTTTTTATATACATATATCTTGTTCGTAGTTGCTTGTGAAATTTAGCCCGATGATCTTGCTGTTTTTTTTAAGCTGCACCAATACAAAGAGTTTGGTGAAATTAAGTGCTTGATTCTCCTCCCATATCAGCTAGCTTTGAAGGGTGGGTTTTCCAAGTGTTTGAATGCTTATCATTTGGTATAAAAGCTGGTGGTTGTTGATGTCTCTGTATTAAGTGCTGCCCATGGATCGGTGGAGGGTCCTGGCCAATGAGGAAGATGAGTTAAGGAAATTTTACGTAGAGTGTAAGTTGTTGAGATATTGTATCTCAGGGGGTGGTGTTATGATAGAGACTTGGGTATTATGGGGTTCTTAAGTCTCACATTGAGTATTATGGAATGGTAAATTAATGGAGTACTTTTTATGATTTGTAAATTATAAGAGATTTAGATCATGGAATGTGAGAATCCTAATTAGTTTTTCATAAGTGATGCCATTATTTATATGCCCTAGGTGTTTATTATTTTAGTGAAATTTACTGAGTATTAGAATAAAACTTTATGCTAGCTGAATTAAATGTCTTTTGAACTTAGTAATTCTTAGGCCTTATTCTGAAATTTGTGAATAAGAATGGTTTAAATCCATTATTGTCTCTTGGAAAAATATCCAATAGTTGATCAGCCATAAATTTTGATGTAATGCTAAGTATTGTGATGTTATTGTCTTTTCAGGAGTGTGTGAATCCTTTTGATTATTGTGACATTGTTACTTCCACAACTCACAAGAGTCTTCGAGGTCCAAGGGGAGGCATAATATTTTATCGGAAAGGTACAAAGCCGAGGAAGAGAGGGATACTTCTAAGTCAGGGTCATGAAAGTGATCAATATGACTTTGAAGAAAAGATAAATTTTGCTGTTTTTCCATCGTTGCAAGGGGGGCCGCATAATAACCACATTGCTGCACTTGCTATAGCTTTAAAACAAGTGGCTACTCCTGAGTATAAGGCATACATGCAGCAGGTGAAGAAAAATGCTCAAGCTTTAACATGTGCTTTACAGAGAAGAAAATGCCGTCTAGTTACTGGGGGTACGGACAACCATTTAATACTTTGGGATTTAAGGCCCCTGGGATTGACAGGTATAGTATGAGCATGCCATATTTTTATGACATATTGCTAATTGCTTTTTATGTGTGTAATGTCTACTTGTGCATTTGACTCAACTGGTTTGCATGTTGGCTGCATTACATTGCTTTTTAGTCTATAATCCTTTAGATTCTTTGACGTTTTATGTCTTCACATTTACATTCCTGGATGGGGCATATGGTGTTTTATATAATGTGTAGGGTTTTCCTGAATGAACACATGGCTTTTTATATAAAGAGTAGGTTTTGCCCGAATGGGCATATGGATTTTTATAGAAAGAGTAGGGGTTTCCTGAATGGGCTGGCCCCAAAATGCCTGAGGTGCATACTACTCTGAAGCAGGTTAGCTGCTTCATTGAGACAAGGTGGCCAATGAAATGAGTGAAATATAAGGACAATAATATTGACAAATTTTTATATCACTAGAGAAGGTTTGCTACATGGATAAATCAACACCACTGGGCTCTAAAATAACTAAAACAAATTTTGGGTAGAACCATTGACGGGAATTTCTTTTTGCCATGGTATTTTCTTTGGTCTTCCGTACCACCCTTTTTTAATTGGATTATGTTGGGTCTAAGGCAATGGGACCACCATTAAAAACATATCAAAGAAGAAAGGATAGAATGGGAAAAACACCCAAGGAAACTGTTATAGAGAATGCTAACAGATTAACAAACTAGTATGCATGGCAAGGATGAGGAGGGGAGAGAATAGAGGAGTGAGAACTGTTATATCGTAGCTTTATGTGGAGAAGGGGGGGGGGGTGGATGGGGAGGGAGATTATTGGAGGATAGCTTTGGTTTTTTGCTCTGTTTTCCATTGTTTTTGTGTGCAACATCAGGGACACTCCTCCCTGTGTTGATTTAACATTTTGGTCCACTTTTGTAAGCACCTTCATTGATGTTTTTCTCACACATGTTGAAACAACCTCAAGTGAAACATGAAATTTCTCTTTGATACATTTTTTTCTGGACTTCTCTTATATGTTAGCAAATTCAACTGAGCGTTATTAAATAATTTGAACACTTTTGGGCACTTACCAAACATAAAATTTTAGTGGAACATCATTGTTGTTATGGTTGTCTGCTTGACTTTTGCTTTGAGTTTGATAGGCATTTTGTGGTCACTTTGATGCAAATCCTATTGTTCAAGATTGACAATTAATGAAATTTGATTATTTTATTTTTCTATATAATAACAAGTTTTTTCTCGTTTTGGTGCTTGTAGGTAAATTTTACGAGAAGGTCTGTGAAGCGTGTCATATTACATTGAATAAAATTGCTATTTTTGGTGACAATGGAACTATAATTCCTGGAGGTGTAAGAGTAGGTGAGTAATAGTTTATTATGCATGAACCTTTGATGCTTTGCATGCTTGGAATATACTTTCTCACATGACGGATTTTTGTGATGTATTTTTACTCAGGTACCCCTGCCATGACGTCAAGAGGGTGTCTGGAAGCTGATTTTGAAACAATGGCTGATTTTCTCATTAGAGCTGCACAGATTGCAAGCATGCTACAAAGGGAGCACGGGAAACTGCAGAAGACAACATTAAAGGGATTTGAGAACAATAGGGATGTTGTTGAGCTCCGTGCACGGGTTGAAGCTTTTGCAACTCAGTTTGCTATGCCTGGTTTTGACATTTGAGCATGATGTGGCTTGTGAATTGCCACTATTGATATATTTATATATGCTACAATGGAGGGTTGTGGAACCTGTTTCTTACAAAAGCACAGCTTGTGCGTATATTTTGTGGAGCTTCTCTCTCTCTGCGTTGTATGCAGTTGTCAGGTTTTGACATGTTGCAGTGAGTTGCAATCTGGTAAAAGACAGTACGGAAGTAGGTACTGCGTACTGCTGTAGAGGTTTCTTTTGGTTATCAAGTATCTTGTTCCGACCTTGGAGGTGTCACCATGCCAGCTGAATGCATCAAGTTACAGCTATTATGGGGTTTGGAACAGGAATTCTTGATCAACCAACCTGAGTACAGAGTTCTTCTGGTGGATTTACAGAAAATAATTACTCTGATAGAGGTTAGACACCTTGCACTATTTTAGCTTCTGTTTGATGCTTAAAGCAATGTTATTAATCCTATTTTTTACTATTTATTCTCCGGTTGAGACCATATGTGTAATTATTTTCGTCAATACCTTACCTTGTTAATTGTTAAATATATAGGTTGATGTGGTATATGTTTGATTGCTTTTTACCCATGTTATTTTGCAAAATATTTTCTTTCCTCAAAAAGAAAGGTTGGTTACTCAATTGAGTTGGGAATGAAAAATATTTCAGAAGCGCTCGAGTTCATAGGCGAGTTTTCATACCTAGGTCCTATATATGTATGAAGTTGAATACACTATCACTTCGATTTTTATTTTATTTTTTATATACTTTTTGTAGTTGCTATTTGTTACCTATTGTAAATCTTGGCGATTAAACCGTCACTTTTTCTCATGCTTTTGTGGTTTGCAGATATCTTCTCAAACCATCTAAGTGTGGGTTCGTGGCATCAAATCTTGGGGATTAAGCCATTTATGTCACTTGGTAATGTAAGAATGTGGTATATTATGTGATGCAACAAATTTTCGTCAATCTTTCTAAAATATTCCATATCCGATATAATTTTCTTGTTGGTTTTAAAATTCACGAACTTCACGTACGGCTTATTCAAAGAGGATGGTTTTAATTTTTATCTAGGGTGTGTCGAATCGTTGTGAATTAACATACGGTTAAATTATATGGAATAATATTTTAGTCAATAATTATAATGGAAATTAATGTGAAATCAATCTCATTAATAATATATTTAAAATGAAAAACTATTTAATTATGTGTATAAATTTATTTATTTACTTAGATTTACCCCAAATTTAATGAGAACTAAATTTGTCTGATATTATATAACTATTTATTATTTTTTTCATTCATTTTGTTATTTCTTTTAGTGTTTTTTTCCCGTTCTATCCGGTTCTTTTTTCACTTCATTTTTTTTATTTAAAAAAAATAAAATTATTTAAATTATTTAAAAAATTATAATTTAATATATTATATTTTTAAAATATTATATGATAAAATTGAGTTACTATGAATATTATTATTATATTATAATTGTTAAGAAGAAATAACTAATTATGTTAAAGTAATTTTTTTAATAAATATTTTTTAAATTATCTAATCTGATTAATTATTATTTAATTTAGTTATAATTAGATTAAATTATTAAACAAAAATATATTTAACGAATAAAATAATTAGATGAATAATTTATTTATTATGATAAAATAGTTTTAAATTAATTACTTACATTATTATTAATAGAATTGTTGATTGTTATAATAAATACCGTAATTTTAAATTTTTAGTTGATATTTTTAGTTTTAATTTTTATTTTAAAATTTTTCTTTAAAATATTTTCATTAAATTTGAATATCATAGTTTTTAGAAGAATAAATATGATAGAAAAGACAAAAAATAATAGACAATGAGGAAAAAAAACTTAATATAAATTGACAGAATTTCTTAAATAATTTTTCTTTTAAAATTATTATTTATAAGATTGATTCAATTAATATTATTACTAATTTTCTTTTAAAGAATCATGCGTTTAAGCTATATAATTAGGTGTTAGAAGGAATTGTGAAAATAATAGACATTAATATTTTGTTTTCAGAAAAGAAAATGTTCTCTAAAGCATTTAGTTCCTGTTTAGTTTCAGTTTTGAACAATTAATTTTGTACAAATTATGTTTTATTTAAGCTTTAATGAGTTGTGTAATTGTTGGGAGGTTATCAATTTATGCCAACATACCACCGCATTAGGAAATGGGAAATGATCCTGTGACTTTAAATTTAGTTATTAGATGTGGCGTTTTTATATTTTCACATGAGAAAATTATCTTTATAGGATTAAATAATTAAATTGAATAATAAATATTTTGCAAATAATATCATTTATGAAAAAAATTTGATTATTATGATAATTAAGAAAAATAAATATATGTCATTAGATAACATTTGAATAATTAAAATTGGAAAATAAATGTTGTTTTAAGAAATTAAAGGATCTAAAATAAATTTCTATTTGTTGCGAGATCGTACAATCTTGGAGACATTTTTTTTGGAAAGAAACCAACAAGGAGACTCAATAACAAAGATGGAGTAAATTTTGCAGAGAAAGTATTAACGAGATTGATGTTATTGGAAGAGAGTGAATCAATAAGTTTAAGCGACTTTGGAGTGGATTGATCAGAATTATTTATATATATATTTTTTTTAATTTTAAGTAATTTAGATATAAGATTCATAATAAAATATTTATTTTTTATTAATCATGTAATTATATAAGACATAAAAAATTATTTGTAATTATTTTCATATGTTTACAATTACTTGTTATCCATTTTAAATTCTTATTTTATAAAATAAGTTTTCTTTAGAAAGTATTCGATCATGACTTACTGATTTATAGAATCTAAATCCTAAATCTTTATCTATAATTCAAATTTCGTATATTTATTGGTTTCTCTTTTAGGTTAAAAAAAAATTAATAATACATCATTCTTAAGGAAACTTAATGTCTAATGAAAATATAGATGAATAAGTATTTTGGTGATATCTATTGTTATTTCTGAGTGAAGTTAAAAAAAATGAAATTAATAATAAAAAAATGTATTTGCCAAACATTGAATAAATATATATATTTTTTATCTTTCAGTTTTTAAAATATTGTTTTGAAAAAACGAATTTAATTATTATTTTGATTTAGAAAATTAAAATAAAAGTATTAATAGTATTAATTTTTTATATTTTTATAATATATATAATAAAATATTATTGAAACTCATTTTTATAATATATTTTTTATCTCTCTAAAATATATTTGGAAATACGGTAAAAAAGAAAAGAAAGGAGTGGCAAAGAAATTGTTTTAAGAGGAACTCATGTGAACCTATTCCACAAAATGATGAATATAATATTTTACAATCGGTGATAGAACCGAGAAATAATGTGTGATAGAAAGTTAACATAAAATAAGTCTGGAGTCCACTGTCTCCGGTTATTAAAATCATGAGATTCGAGATATTTAGATAGAATATCAATATTATTTGAGATATTAAAAAATTATTTATTCATAATTTATCTTGAAATATTTGACATACATCTAATAAAATAGAAATAGTAGATTTCAAATAATTACAGTTTAACACCATTATATAAATAGGTTTATCTTTCATTATCATCCCATTATCAAATTTTCTACTCATTATTATATATATTGACTTAAATATATATATAAAAAAAAAACCTTTTTCATGTCTCTTTTTACTTTCTTCATCTATTAAAAAAAGACTTAAAAAAAGTTTTAATTTAGGTATAAACATTTTTACTTTCTTCATATATTAAAAAAGACTTAAAAGAAAGTTTTAATCTAACTATGAATAGTTGACGTTGTGGTAAAATTTTCTATACCATCACCTTGAGTTAGAGGATGAACTCGAATAAGAACTTCTTTAAATATTAAATTTTTCCAATTATACTTAAAGGTATCGTGCTCCAATGGTATTACAAACTCTTAAACGGATCTACTACCTACTTTGATGACTTAGCAATTAAGCTTAAAGCTTGATTTTCCACAAGCAAACCTCATACGACTAATTCAATGACTTCTGGAATCATTAGACAGAAAGAAAAGGAGTCATTAGGTAAATTCTTGGAAAGGTTCATGACCATTAGCCTTACCATACCAAATTTAGAACCAATAGTCGCAATGCATACCATGATGACCAGTATTCGAACATGACCATTTTTGGAAGGCTTGTATCTAAACAATTTAAAAGACATGGAAAAGCTGAGAACACGAGCATCAGATGACATCCAAGTAGAAGAAAATATTGAGATACATAGAAGAATAGAGGAAAAACTTGATCAAGTAATAGAGAAGATTCATTCCACCAAGTGTGTGAGGAGGGTCCAATACGATAACTACATACTACTGCATGCTTCTTAAGAGACTATCTCGTGAAAAACATGCAACTTAGAGCTAATGAAATTTCTCCAATAGTCTTTCATGGTACCAAATGTAGATAGAACAAAAAAATGCACCTACCACTAAAACTATGACCATAACACAGAAGATTGTTTGAATCTATGAGATATCATAGAAGGTCTCTTACAGTTGAGAAAGTTAACCCAATACGCAGTGGCTGATCTTGACCATTAATTTTGGGGGGCGAAATAATATATTATTAATAAATAATAAATAAATATAAAAGGAAGAAAGAAGAGATATATACTTAAAGGGTGAAAAGATAAAATTTTAGATATATACTTAAATATAAAGGGTGAAAAGATAACATTTTAGATATATACTTAAATATATTAAATGATCATTAAGTTTGAGGAGAACAAAATCATAAATTAGATGAGAGTTACAAAACTGATGAGGGGCTAAGAGGATAAAATTGTAAATATACAAGTAAATAAATTAAATATTCATTATGTTTGGGGGGTCAAAATCATAAAATATAAAAATGTTTGGGGGGTCAAAATCATAAACAAATAGAAAAATCATAAATTTTTGTATAATATACACTCTTGCCTTTTTCCACTCGTTCTCTGACTTATGGTTCTTACAAGAATCAAACAATC